TCCCTACAAGGAAATCTAGACCAAGGCCAGAACATTCACCCTGCCCATTTCGTCTCTTCATGAACAAAGAGACCTGTGTGCTGCAATAAAATAGCACCTTCACCACCTTATTAATTACAAAGGAATGGGCCAGAACTTCAATTTGTACTTACTAACAGAGCAACACTAAAGTTTACAGAGCTATGTATAATGTAGAAACCTCATCTATCACTGCTTGAGAAGCTCACCTTTGCATGCTGCAAGGGGGGCAGACCAGACCCCAGAAGAGGTACAGTATACAGATTCCAATGAGCTCAGTTCATAGCCTTCCTCACACTGAACTGTGCAGGACGAGTTGTAGCTGAAGTTCTCCAAAGGATGGTTGCACTCGAGGCTCCCATGATCAGGTTTCTTTAGTGGATCACAACTCTCAACTTCAAAGAAACACAAGAAGGTACACAGTCTGTCTCATTGCCTGAGCAGGTAAATCAACAAGACAGACAAACTAAACACTAGCTAGTGTGAACATCTCCCTAGTTGAAAAGCAGGATGCAGTAATCTTACCAAACTCGCATTCAGGCCCATGGAATCCAGGATTACAACGACAGGTGTGATTATTAACAGTCTCTATGCATTCTCCACGGCGACTGCAGAGAGATGGATTGCAAGAAGCTGGAAAAAAAGGGAAAAAATACAGCAAGTTACAAAAGAATTAGCAATGGCCAGTAATGAAACCTGGCTAGCGCTTTGTTTATCCTTCTGGCACTAAACAAGCACATTGGATAGCAGAAGAAAAGCAGGGGGGTTGGTACATAAGATTAGCCTGTCATTTCACAGAAGGATTTCAGAAATCAATACCTTTGACAGACTAGCTCACAGTGAAAGGATTCTACTGGCTGGCAACTCCATGACCACTTGTTCTCAGGTAGATATTAGAAATATTTAAAATGTAAAAGGAACAATATACTATGGGGTAGGGAGAAATCCTTAACAGGTACATTCTTCATTAACTCACCACAGCTCTAATTTGGCTGATATTTGACTTGGATTTTTTCCTGACCTCGCCTTAGCCACCTTTACAAAGTGTCTAATTTAATCCAGTGGTCTATAGGCAGCAGACAGATGCCCCCCAAAGGGGAACTCTTATCTAGCTGAGACACCTGCTTAAGAGTGGGATGAAAGTCACCATCTGGAAGAGCCTGTTTTTCTCCACTGGTTATAGAGAAGGTCTGGTGATTTGCTCATAAAAGATGTATAATATTCTGGGAGCTAAAAGGTAAGTGAGATCAATCCAGCTCTTAGAACAAGAATGACCTCAGCCCTGTAAGTAAGGATAAGTGTACAAGTGCTTACAGGGTCAGGTAGTTAATATGTAAGACTAGGTTAAAAAACTCATCCCACCCATCATCTAATCTCCACAGGAGCATACTAGAATGGTCTTTATCACACTATACCTGTGTAGCACAAGGCGACCTTCTTTTTCTCACACTGTTCATCATTCCATTTGCCATCATCCTTCCCTCTTTTGATGTAGATTTCAACGCAGTCCTCGTTGTTCCCTTTGCCATTTGGCTCACCTGAAGCCCAGTTTTCTGCCTCTTCTGTCAGTTCTTTGTTAGTTCCAATCCAGGTCCAAACCTCATTAATTTTTCTGATTCCAATCCAATAGTAACCCGGATTGAAAGGTAAGACGTTATTGAGATAGTTGATTTCTTCCTTATTCTGAATGGCAACCATGTTAGTATACCTCTTTTTGCACCACAGCTCTGCTTCCCTGTAGGTCATGTTTGTATCTGAGTAATGGTACGTCCAACAATTGACCCTCTGCAGTATTGTAAGTCCTAAAATGAAAAGATGTCAAGAAGATGGTGTCTGACATTGTCCCTCCTCTCCCTCTAGAAGAGGATATATAAAGCTCTATAAATATCGCAAACCTGTCAATATCTGAAACTGCATAAAAAGTAGTGGCAATTATTTTATAAAGAATCTACTGGCAAGCTTCAAAACAGGCATGTCGACATCAAGTACAGGGACTTCAGCCTGTGAAACTATGTCCGATCACACAAAGCTTTGCAGACTTCATAGCAAATTATAAAAGACAATTATGTATTTGACAGGCAAGCAGGGAAACATGCCATTGCAACTAGAGGTTTTTCTACGTGAACCTAGCCTCAAGTTAATTCGGTCAGGTTCATAAATTCTGTTTAATTCTGAGCTCAAACAGAACAGTCACACCAATATTGCCATCCACCTAGTTTTCCACACAGAGAAATATACACTTACCATAAGCAAGAAGAGATAGGAACCACAAGCAAGTCATGTTTCTGAGAGTTTTTTCTTCTCCTTATCTTTTAAGTAGACTGCTGTGAGAGATCAAAGGAAGAGGTTTGTAAAGAACAAATACTGGCTTTTTACAATACAATATAAAATACTGTCTATGTAATCTTTTCTACATACTTTTAAACAATTATTCTAAAGATCTAAATAAGATTTCCATTTTTAGGAAATTATTAATTTTAAAACAGTTCTTCACATCAAGCTATCTTTTAAATGTAAACAGCTTTTAAAGAACACCAACACAGAATTCCATCTGTCCAGTTTTCCTTTAGCTGAGCAATGGAACAGAATAACACACTCCATTATACTCACAGGTTGTAGCTGATGTGGCCAGGTGGCAAAACTCCTCTGTGATATTTCTCAGTGACTGCTTTCCGTTGCTAAGTTGCTGAATACAGACTTGAAGATTAAGTTCAGCTCCAAGTGTCTGGACTGTGTAACACCCTGCCTTTACTACGGCCTTTTATTCTCTCAACTGGCCTGTCCTCCACAAGACGGGAAATTCCGCGTGGAAAAAAATTTATTGGAAAATCCCAGGATCTGGCCCTCCCACACATTAAGCCTGACGCTTCCCCTTGCCAAATCAACCCTCCCACAAAGACACACTATGCTGACAAACTGCCAAGTGCTGCATGACATAGTTTTACTGACAGAAACACACAATTCCAGGATATTAGGAAGGAGCAAGATGGTTAGTTTGAGTTAGTTCCGTGAATAAGAAGATTCCAACTTTTCACCTAGCATAATGTTTTGCAGGAAGGAGGTGTCGGTTCTTTTGGGATCTCAGTAAGAAAGGCACCGACACTCAAAGCTGGCTAACCAAGTTTGAGTAAAAGATGGAAACTGCAGCACTGAACAAGCCCTTCCTTGTGGATCACAGCACGCTGTGCAGAGTTCTCATTTGTGGTAAGGTTTGCCAGCCCCAGGATTGCTAGTATTCTTCTAGAGTCTTGCTCACAATACAGATTCATCAGTCACTCGTAGCAGCCAAGCTTGGAATGTGGACTTAGCTTTGAAGAGTCCCTTGGACCATATGCTCCGATATCCTTATCTCAATAGAGTTACAATTCCTGAACAGGTGCATATAATATTTCAGGTGGACAAGACAATACACTAGTCTCTAACTGAATTCATACACATTTATTGTGTATACACTGATTAATTATACTACTGCATAGAGCAGTCACATAGTGTCCATGGTACAGAGACACATGCCTGAGTAACCACGGACACTTTGCTATAGTGGGCTGGTAAGCGCTCACAGGCTATTCAGAGCGCACCTGCGTACGTGAGAAGGCAGTAAGCACGAGACTCACCAATTCCTTGCACAATAGTCTTCCGGCTGCACCACTCCACTCCTTGATCCTCATGCATACCTTCACACATATGCCACTTCAGCGATAAGGCGAGTGACTTGTATGTACAGAAGTGGGTTTGGATATTCTCACTTAAGTAGGTCTCACAAGTACTGTTGAGGGCTATAAGTAGGGAACAGGCAACACGAGTTACAGACACATTAGCTCGGTTCTCAACCCTGGGCAAAGGCATGACACTAGAAGCTTGTCACAGAGTCCACATTTCCCAGCACTCCCAACCCTGTTCCATACAACATGGTATTATTCCCTTGCGCCCTCATCAGCCAAGTCACCCCACCGCTTGTTCTATGTCCACTCGGGCACTTACTATGGAGACGACACCAGACAGTCCAGTTGCCACACTGGTATTCCAGGCATAAAGATTCACCATTATGGATGAGGTTTAACGAGGCTCGACATGCAAAGGACTCAACAAGGGTTCTCAGTGATAGATGGACACAGGGTAGCATCCACTTCATATCTGTAAAGCATAGTTATAGTTTATACAGTGCACGATGGAGCTCTTATTTTGGAACCCTAGTCTGTTCTTACAGAATAAAAATCAGTGGCTCCTGGATTCCAAGCTAAGATCTTGGCTGGTATCAATTCCCCTTTTTTTTCAGAAAAAAATATTTGTCAAGTAGCCACACCTTAATAGATCTCTGCCCATCAAAGGAATCCACCACAGAAAAGAGGATAGAATAAAGAGTATATTCTAAAACAGCCTCAGTTATTATCAAAACATAAGAGTTTACTAGAAAGGGGAACAGACTCCTAGAAACCATGTCAAAGTCAGTTACTGAAGAGTGAGGATTAAAAACAACATACTGA